GCTGGATCCCATGTGGATGACTACAGGGTTCGAGTCCCAGACACAGTGGCTAGAAATAAGTCAGGTGCATGTGCTTGTGTGCCTAAAATCCTGAGAGGAGAATGGAGGAGAAGCGATTGCAGTGTGGCCATCACCCCTGGGAAGTTGCTTTCTCACTTTTTCTCTGTGTCAAATGAGAAAAAAAGAAAGATTTTTTTAACAGCAGAGTAGACTTAAGCCACAGAGTAGAAAAGTTTCTCTAGCGCATTACTAGGTCTTCTCTAGGTCCCCTTCCGTGAGGCACCCTTCCTTATATCCTTGGCTATAAATGTCATACCTGATAAAAGATGAACATAGGGGCCCATTGCAGAGTTGGTAAAAATGGGCTCCAACCCAAAAACTCATATGCAAAAGCTCTGCCCCACACACACCCACAGGTGTACAGTTTTCTTACATGCATGGGGAAGCGGAAGTGGATACAGTACAAATATAGTGGGGCTCATTATTGTTGCTGTTTGTTTAGGAATTGTAACTAACCAAAGAATGATTTCGGTAGCCCAGTGGTCTGAGCAAAGCTGATGGCCTTGCCTTCATTTCCCTCCCCTGTGCCCCTTCTATTAGCCAACTCTCCTCCAAGAAGTTTCTAACAATGGGGAACCAGCAGTTAGCGTAATGGCTGTGTCGCTGGATTCCCACGTAGTCGACCACGGTTCGTGTCCCGGACCCGGTGGTTTAAAAAACTCACGCCGGGCGCATGTGCATGCGTGCCCAAGATCCCAAGAGGAGAATGGAGGAGAGGGGATTGCGGCGTGACCATCCCCCCTGGGGGGTGATTTCTCGCTTTCTGTTTCTATGTCTCTCTCTGTCTGGCGAGCGCACGCGCCCTACAGTGAAAATCTCTCAAAAAAAAAAAAGTTTCTAATAATGCACAGGGACAACTAAAACAGCTTCTCTTCCTGAACCCAGCCAACTGCACAGACCCCTTACAGCCCAAGGATCCTGAAACTATAAATAACTATATCAGCTACCCTTGCCACTCTGCTCAAGTGTTGTGCAACACTCAGACTTAGAATGATCAGTCATGGAAGCTGAATGCAGTTAGCCATTACAGTTATGAGATGTTCAAATTTATTTCTACTAAGAATAAATCATGAATCTTGGGCATGGTGAAAGATCACTCATAGTAACAATAGTAACAGCAATCATTACTGAGCACTGAGTATAAGGCCCTCTACTGACTGATCAAAATAGGAACTACCTTACAGAGGACAAAACTGAGGATCAAAGAGGTTATGTAGTCTTTCCAAGGCCACAGAGCTTATGATCAGTATTCTGACTCCAAACCCATGGTTCTTAACCTCGACACTGTAATACGGCTAAAGAGAAAAAAGAAAAAGGCAATGTCCACATGCCCTTTACTGCACCCAAACCTGAGCTTAAGTAACCCAAAGCAACTCTTCCCAGTAAGAAATTTTTATGACCCTCCATACATGTGAATTACTGACCTGGCACCCCTTCCTCAAGCCCACTACTTATACTCCAGAGAACACAAGGATGTTCTGTGCCACAGCTCTCCTGGTCTCCTAGGATATCACCCTAATCAAAGACATTTACATTTAAAGAAGGATTATCAAAGGAACCAAAAGAAGCATTAACAGTACAACAATGTTTGGTTGATCTGTTATTCTTACCAAGCCTCTGAAGAGAGAAAATCCCATTGCCAGGAGAACACACACAGCCAACATGCAATCAAAGGGTCTTCGCAGTAAGTCCTTTGCTTGGGTTTCTTGAACAACCTAAAAATAGAGTTTATAACTAGCAAGCAGGCCCAAAGTACCGAAGAATCTGAAACATTAAATGCCATGATGATGGATTAAAGAATTCTGAAGGTTCACAATTTGTATCATAAGCCACTGGCCGTGGAACTTTAGGAATATGAGTTCCTCCTCAAATCTGTGTCCTCATCTGTAAAATGAAGATTTGGGGGCCAGGTGGTCTTAAGGGCCCATATAGCTCTGATTCTGTATTTTTTTCCCTTAATTCCAATAATTTTCATGATTGTTAATATACACTCATTTGAATAAGAAAAAATGTGAAAGTAAATTATAAATATGCCAAGCACTGTTAAAGTTGGTGCACTTTTGCAGTCATAGACACACATGTATACAGTCATGCATTCCTTAACAACAAATGGGGGTACATTCTAAGAAATGCATTGTCAGTCAGTTGGATCATAAATCTCTGACATCATCTTTCTGATTATTTTCTTAGGATAGGGTCCTAGAAATGGAATTATTAGGTTGAATGGTTCAGTTGTTAAGCTTGGTTACACTACCAAATTGCTTCACAGTAATAATGAATTTATGTTCCTCAGCACTGTACTGCAGTGCCCGTGGCCCTGGCCATCGCTGTTTTAATATTGAAATTAGTAATAATAAATGGATCCGTGTGTCTTATGGCATGAACACTCTGTGGACATGCTAACATGGAGTCTTTGAAAGCAGTGGAGCCAGGACTAAGACACAGGTTACAATTTGTTTTTTTCTTTTTAACAACCACTTTGTTCCTCAAAGGGATGTAAGGTCATGCCAGCTGTCACTGTGCCAACCTGAGCTTACAAAGTGTCTGTTTGTTTCCAAATGAAGTGTATGTAAATCGAAATAGTTCAATGAATTCTTCTATATTTATAATCTTTTTATAAAATGATGATTACTGATTGTCTCTAGCAATTCATACTTTATCAGTGTCACTTCAAGTGTTTTCTTAAGAATCTGATACCTGTAAAAGGAAGAGATACTTGGAAGGATGTCACTAGCTTAGAAATTAAGCCCTTAACAGAGTTTGCCTTGAACAACTTGGCTGTGAATAGAAGGGAGTTGTCTCAGAAGATATCCTGCAGCCAGTCTCCATGTACCTGGATCTCTTGGGAATTGAACCCGATGGCCACGTGGACTACCTCCAGTAGCAGTTCTCTCCAGCCTCTTCCCGGGGCAGTACATGCACAGATGTCAAGGTGCCCAGGTGTTCGTCATCCAGGTCATTAACCCTAGACAAACCACCCACTCTAGACTTCACTTAGCACACTAACACACAAGCTGATGTAAGGGCTAGTGCAACCACTGGGACACATACTTCTGGCACAGTCCCCAAAAGTATGGCCTGGCCAGTTGAAGTAGATGAATCCATACAGAAACAGACCAACTTGGCTCCCTAACTAAGACGTAAACTAACATTGATTAATAGGCACAGTCATGCTGATTCAGTATCCCAAATGCTACAGTATATTTAGGCACAGCTCAATCCAGTGACCAGTAAATGTGAGTGAGCTCAGTGGGTCTGAGAAGAGCTACATTTAAGCTTAATAAAATCACCTTTGAGGGATAATTGTAACTTTCTGATGACTGATTATAGATTCTGAAACCAGCCCAGAGAGGAAGACAAGTATATGGTATGCTTAAGAAAAAAGCAGGGCAAATTCGTGTTCCATACTTCCCTATTGAAAAGAGAAAGAGAAAGTCAAAAGTTTATCAAAAGCATAGTTAAACATAAGTAACATTTAGAATACTGCCCTGTCTCAAATGACTTAAGATTTCTCTGACAACATTTTTAATGGAAAAAAAAATTTTTTTGAGAGATTTTCGCTATAGGGTGTGTGCGCTCACCAGACAGAGACATAGAGACAGAAAGCGAGAAATCACCCCCCAGGGGGGATGGCCATGCTGCAATCCCTTCTCCACTTTCCACTTGGGATCCTGGGCACACACACATGAGCCTAGCGTGAGTTTAAGCCATTGTGTCTGGGACTCAAACCACAGTCAACTACATGGGAGTCCAGTGCACATGCCCTATAGCAAAAATTTCTCTTTAAAAAAAAGAAAATGAGTATTATGGGACCAGAAGGTGACATAATGGTTATGTCACTGGTAGTTGACCGTAGTTGACTGTGGTTCGATTCCTGGCACCAGCAGCTTAAAACTCAATACTGGGTGCAAGTGTGTGCATGCCCAAAAATCCCAAGAGGAAAAATGAACAAGGGATTGCCGCGTGGCCATCCCCATCCCCACCCCCCCGGGGGGGAGGGCGAGATTTCTTACTTTGTCTCTTTCTCTCCAGCAAGCACACATGTCCTACAGCAAAAATTTCCCTTAAAAAAAAAAAAATGAGTATCTGGGACCAACAGTTGGCTTAATGGCTATGTCACTGGACTCCCATGTAGTCAATGAGTCCTGGTCCCAGTGGCTTAAACTCACGCTGGGCACATGTGCGTGTGTGCCCAAGATCCCAAGAGGAGGATGGAGGAGAAGGGACTGCAGCGTGGCCATCCCCCTTGGGGGGTGATTTCTCACTTTCTGTCTCTCTGTCTCTTTCTGTCTTTCTGGCAAGTGCACGCGCCCTATGGCAAAAACCTCAAAGAAAAAATTGAGTATCATAAACTATATAGACCAGCACTGTAGCATAATGATTAAAGGAACTGGATCCCACATAGCCAACTACAGCCAGAGTCCCAGCCCTGACAGCTTGAAAAATATGCCTAGAATCCCAACAGGATGGAGACATGGAGAAGAGATAGTGGCATGACCATGCCCCACTGGGTTGTACTCTCTCCTTCTCCATCTCTGGCAAGTACACACAGCTTCTTGTAACATTTAGAAATGCACAGATTTTAAATGTTTTGTGCCAAAAATAAACTCACACTTTAATTCTCTTTCCACAGTCTTTTTGCAGTGCCCCATATAATAGAAGGAGCTGTAAGAAATATGTGCACAATTATTATAACCACAAATGCCATACTCGCACCCTCTAAGTCCTTCTAAAGAGTCAAGAATCACTGATATCAGATTGTCTAATTATTCAGTGCATACTTCTTGAATGCTCAAAAGCATTTCTTGAAAGGTGAGATTGGGGCCAGCAGATGGCATGGTCACTGAGGCACTGGACTCCCACATGGCGAACCACAGTTTGAGTCCGGGACCTGACTGCTTGCTTTCTCACTTTCCCTCTTTCTGACTCTCTCTGGTGAGTGCACACGCCCTGTAACAAATTTTAAAATAACAATAATAAAAGTAAGTAAATAATTCTTTTTTAAAAATACACAGAAAAGGACTGAATTTAAAATAAGTTTCTTACCTACAATGTTTCCTGGTACAAAAACAATAACGCTCATTATAATTGATCCAACCCAATATAGGCCTATGGTTCTGTAACTCTCCCTGTAACAAAAACAAAAACAAAAAATTTGACTTAGTGCATTTGTCTTAAAATAGCAAAAGATGATCCTCGATATTATTTCTTATTCTAGTGAATACATCAATCAAAAGTTACTGAATGAAGATTAATAAATCAAACAAGAAACCCTGGTGATCTCTTCATTTCCACATATGATACACTGTAGAACTTTTGTGTGTCCTCCTGCTTAAGAAATTATGCTTCTACATTGGTGTGTTAAATTGCAGCATGTCTTCCTGCATTTCCTGCATTTCATATTTACTTCTGTGAGCAAAAAACTCACAGCATGGAGTCAGCAGATGGCATAGCGGTTACGCCACTGGACTCCCACGTGGCTGACTGAGGTTCAAGTCCTGGACCTGATGACTTGAAACTCATGCTGGGTACATGTGCATGCATACCTAAGAGCCCTGGAGAAGAATGGAGAAGGGATTGTGGTGTGGCCATCCCCCATTGAGGGTGGTTTCTCACTTTCTCTCTGTCTCTGGGAGTGCACACACCCTAAGGCAAAAACCTCTAAAAAGAAACTGACAGTGTGAAAGGGAAAAGGAGGTTGAAAAGAAAAGAAACTGGATCCACACTTTAAATCATTATGAGTATCAATATGTAAAATGGATTTTCCCCGATGTTACAAATTTTGGCCAAAGCACTTTAAAGGTGAAAATAATACATGACATGTACCCCACATTCTAAAATGGGCTGCTAGGCATGCCTTTAATCTTCACTGTTTACAGAAGTTCCTTCAACTGACAACTACCATGACCCAACTCCATACTACATAAGAGGCTGTGAGGAACTGAAAAGGAGGTTCTCTGAAGGGAAACAGAAGTGGAGAATACTGTGTGCTTCCTGTCCTGTCCCAGCCCCCAAGCCCAATGCAGCTGACCCCGGAAGGCTTGTTCACAGTGAGAAGGATTGTCAGCAGGAGGACAGTCAAGCATTAACTGGAGCTATAACCTCCAGTGCTTGAGGAGAAAGGGAGAACCGCTGGTCCAGCTGTGTTTCAACCGACTACCTGGCAGGAACCGACTACCTGGCGGCAATGCATAACCGACTTTGTCTAACCTCGCATACACTTGAGAAGGTAGCTGCACTTGAGCCCTTTTGAAAGGATTCCCTCCTTGGAGAGTATGTCCCACAGGGACTCCAGCAGAAAGGAGCAACATGGGCCACAATGGGCTGGAAGTCACCAGTTCAGCCAGAGAAAGCACTGCTTACTCATACCCTGGGATGATGCAAAGGTTCCTGTGGTAAGATCTGCAAGAACTCACACCTGTGCCCCAAGGACACCACTAGCAGATCATGATTGAAGGCACCACATGAGACTGCCCCCTTCCTTCGACCCAAGATTACACACATGCTCCCGACAAATCAGAGCGAGTTGAGGAGTGTAAAGCTATACCTCCAAGCTTCAGTGCAGACCCCCAAGCCTCAACAGGAAAGAGAAACTGAACTGCAATGAGATCAAAGTTTTTAATTAAAATGTGCTCAGCTTTCATTCCTGAAAATGAGACTGTTCTTGTAAAAGAACAGAGTCAGGAAGCTTAGAGGTCTGCCCGCCTGCACTGTGGTTGAACAGCAACCCAAGATACATGTTCAAAAGGCAGTGGTTCCAGAACAAAGTCATGTCCAGCTGGTACCCATGGCATGTCTGTTCACGTTCAAGTGTACCTGTATGTGCATTTGCCTCTGTCCACCCATTTTCCTTACATACCCGCTTATCAGTGGCTAAGGTGGCAAAGGTGCCCACACCAGGCGGACTGACTTACTCCCATGCTATGGCTGCCACCATCACTAGGTACATCAGATAATGAGCAGAGCCATCCCAGTAGCAGATCATGTGCCCATATGCAGTGTTCAGATACGGCTCGCCCTGTGGAAAGCATTATAAAGAAATTCACTTTAAATAAGACATTTAAATACAAAACACTAGACCTGTATTGGAAGTAAAATCAAATAGCAGAACTCTTCTCACAAAATTAAAAAGTGGTAATAGGAACATGAAAATGTAACTACCCTCCAGCTGCCCAAACCAGTCTGCCATAAGAGGATCCTGCCTGGCTGGTGAGCACAGGAAGTATCAACCCAGGTTTGTTCAGTGCTACAGAGACAGGTGACTGGGCAGTCCTGGCTGTATGGCAGACTCACTGAAGCCAGACCAAATCTGTGATGAAAGGTGCTTGGCTACAGCCAAAAAGCGTGACCAAGGAGTAGCTTGCTCACCAGAGATACTGGCCGACCATCATAATCCATGCTCATGCCGTGCGTGGTTCCCAAGACTAGGCATGAGAATGGGACTTGTCCCCCCATAGATACACACAGAGCCAGGAGCCATACTCAGAGCCTCACACCACTCCCTCATCCAGCCTTCCCAACAACCATATAGTATAGACGTGTGACTGATTCCATTTTGCAGATCAGAACAAAGCTCTAAGAGGTAACAAGAATTGCCTATGGTCAGATAGCTAGTATCTAGCAGAGACTGTATGAGACCTTCAAAAATTAATGGAAAATATGTATTATGAAAAAACTTGGGATTTCAAAAATTTTTTACACTGGGGCCAGCAGGTGGCATGGTCATTAAGGTACTGGACTCACACATGGTTGACTGTGGTTCAAGTCCCAGACCAGGCAACTTGCTTTCACACTTGCCTTCTCTCCCTCTCTCTGGTGCCCTAAAGCAAATTTTTAAATAATAATAATAATAAATAGAATTAAATAATTATTTTTAAAATCCTTGCACCAAAATAAACTCACCTTTTAATTTCATTTTTTCAGACTTTTTGAATTCCTCCCGTACTACCAAGAAGAGTCATTCTGCTCCTGAGAGATTTTTAATTTTGCAAACATGGACGATATGATGAACTACATTCCCTTTTCCAGGTGCTTCCATTTCCAGGTGGCTACTAGATCACTGTTTTGTGTTATGATTTAGTGTTGCTCCAGCTCCACTGTTTCGTTTCCACTCCCTTCCCCATCACACTCTCCTGGCTTGCCTAGCAAGTCTCCCCAAGTCCTCTCTACATCAAGGAAGCGTGCAGCTCAACCAGCCACCACATGACCATTCTCTGAAGCTCCATGCTTCCCTGGAGCAAGGAATGCTCTATCATCTGTCCCCATAGATCAAATCAAAGTAAAATCACAGAGGAAGAGAGCCCACCACAGTGGACTTCTGTACTCAGTGCTGGCCAAGCCATTTCTTCCCTAGGTGTTCTGGCAGGACACTTGCAGCTCATTTCATGTGTCAAGCATCCATGCCTACACACCTGGCAGGTGGAGCCAGCACTGGCCTGTCCTGGTGGTTTGAAGAATATCCTTAACTGCATGGGCCATGTGTCCCTCAAACTCACTTGAACTCAATTCACCAGCTTCTCCCCTCTTTTGACGGACCTGGCCTCTCTCTGTTAATGGTAATACCTCTCAGCTCACCCAGGACAAAACCACAGGGCCACTTGTCTATTCCTTGTTCTCCTGTGTAACCTTTGGGCAAATCTTATCCATTTTTGTCATCATAACGTCAGTACAGGCTAGATCAAATTCTGTCCCTCAGTGAGCCACTGCTGCATTCCTAAGTGGTTTCCTCCTCCCCATCGCCACACGTCTGTGCCTCATGAAGATTTGGAGGTCTGGCTCTTGGCATGTCACTCCTTTGCTCTAAAACCTCCCGAAGCTTGTCACCACCTCTGGGACCAAACCCTATTTCCTCTGTGGGACCCTGACCCTGTAGACCTTTCTATCACGACCCTCCAATCTCCCTTCTCAGACCTCATCTGCCCCAGTGCTGCCACCTTCCCTAGCTCACCCTCTAGCCCTCTTAGCGGCCAGCTCCTTCCTAAGATCTCTCTCCTCTGGGCTCACAGATGCACCCCTTCCCTGGATTTTCCTTCTGTTAGGTTGTTGGAAAAATCATAACACATTTTTGCCTAAGAAAAAAAACATAATTTTTTCTAGGTCTTTTCCAAAGATCCAATACTTCTTGCCTGCCACACACACACACACTCCACTTCAGATATTCTTGGTCTTCTGGCCATAGTCTCTAAGAGTCCCAACCTCAGCATTCTCTCTCTCTCCACCTTCTCCTGGGCAAGCTCCTCTCCTCTCAAACCTTCAGGTACAACTTTCCTCAGATGACACCCCCAATCTCTGCCAAGACCGTTCTCTGAGCTAAGACCTGCGAAGCTCCACTGGCTGGGACAGCTGCCAGGATGTCTCTGAAGGACCTGGAAAGCCACATGTCCCCAGGGGAAGACATGTTCCTTCTCCTCCCCAAGACTTCACCAAAGCTGTGCTTTCTCCTTGGAATGACTTCCTGCTTTCTCGGTCTATCCCAAAATGTTTACTCCACTGCCATGGCCATCCAGAAAATATGACAGGAAAGTCACAAACTTGATGAGGCCTTCCCTGACTGTTCCCAGAGTTAATTCCTCCTCTGTGCCTACCCTGGGTCTCCATTACTACACCTACAGTGAGGTCATCTCCCTCCACATCAGACAGGAAGCTTCTGGAGGAGAAGCAGGTCTCCTTACTCCCAGAGTCAGTTAACAAATTCCTGCAGAACTGAGTCCCTCCTTTTTCTGGTTTAACATTACCAGCACTCTTCCAAATTCCAAAGCAGAAATCAGGAAGTCATCCTGGACCTTAACTTCCCCATCACCCCCAACTTGTCCCCAAGTCCTGCTCATTCCATCCACTCAAAAATCTCTGAATTGTGGTGGTGGTGCGATGATAAGACTCAGCGCTCTACACGATAATCCCACACAAGAGTATCCCTAGTTCAAGGCCAGAGACCCCTCTGAGTACACTGCACACCTCGATCACCCCATAACCCAGGGCTAGCTGAAGGCTCAGGGTAGATCATGGCACCAAGACACTGTTAAGGATGCTGCCCCTTTCACTCTCTCTCTCAAGAAATAAACTTGAATACATTTTCTGCAGTTCATCTCTTCCTCATTGCCAGTGTGTCACCTCTGGCCACCTTCATCCTCTTCTTGGCCCTCCGGATACTTCTTAGCTGGTGCCAAGCTTGTGGTATTGACCCTTCCCCACAAGCCCATTCTTCTGAAAGCTGACTGCATCCTTCCCTGGTTGGAAATTTCCCCTCACATACGGGACACAATCCAAACTCCCTTAGCTTGCATACGGAGCTGCCCATTGTCGGAAACACAGATGGAGACCAAACTTCCAGCTCTGTTCCTATTTCCTGTGTGAACTTGAGTATGTCACTTAACCTCTCTAGGACTGAATAAGATTAAATTAAATTAAATTAAATTAAATAAGCAGGATTTGCTCTTGTGAGTGAAGGTAGCTCTGTAATGCCATGATTTGTATGTGTGTATTGGGGGGTGGGGAGAGTGTTAATCATACAATCAGATAATTTCATTAAGTTCTCAGTGTTTGGCATTTTACAAAATTAAGACTACTTGGGCATTCTGAGATTGTGATGTATGAATGGACACACAAATACTGAATTAAAGTACCTTGTTTATATTAAATACAAATAAAAGGAAAGGGTAGGTTGTGTGGAGGGTCAGGAGTGAGGAAGGAGTTGTAGAGTTGAGTGCTGAACACAACTGGCCCTGCCATCCCGCCATGATCTCTTCCCTTTCGGCTTCACATTCTGTGTGACTAAGTGGCCGAGGCCTATTACTGGAAATGGACACACACTAAATGAGAAGACCTCTGTCTCTGAGGACTGGGCTGGGTGACTGACCCTTTGTGTCCACTCAGAACCACTAGCAGGTCCATACCTCTCTCAGGTAGTGTGTCATGAATCCATCAATGATTCCATCTTGCTCCAGTCCTATGATGAGGTTCACCACGCTGGTAAATCCAAACACCGCGTACACTAGGGCAAGGAAAGCACCAGTTTAGAAAGAGCTCATGCAGGAGGCAATCACAGCGAGCTTGGCGTTGGCCAGTAATGATGGGCTGTTTCCATTTTCCAGAAGATGCCGCAGACATTGTCAGCGCTGATGGAGCTTACACCCTGCACATCTGGCTGGATCTCACCTGGGGCCATGGACCTCCCCAACCCTGCCTCAGCGCTCACCCTGAGGAAACACACGTAGCAAAGGTAGAGAATGACAAAGCAACCACTGGCTGCATGGCAGAAGACTGCACCAGGTTATTCCCACCCATCCTCCACTGCCCTTCGAGTGACTGTCCAGAACCAAACCCACATCCCACCTGGGCAGTAACTGAGGGTCAGGGAAGCAGAGGTGACAGCAGGTTGAAATAATGACTTGGAATACGTGACTTGTCGCAATGATTACCAAGATTGTCCAATGTGTTTGCCTCTTCCACATCAAAGATCTTAACGACAGAGGGGCCAATGTCCAAATGACAAATGCTTTTAGAAAAAAAGTGATTTAAATACTGAACATAAGATGGTACAACTGGGGGCCAGCAGGTGGCATGGTAGTTAAAGGCACTGGATTCCCACATGGACAATCGCAGTTTGAGTCCTGTACCTGATGGCTTGCTTTCTCACTTTCCCTTTCTCTCTCTCTCTCTGGTCAAATTTTTTAAAAAAACAATAGTAATAACAAATTAAATTAAATAAATTTTTTTTTTAAAAAAAAGATGGTACAGCTGACAAAGGAAAGCTAGAGCTCTCTAGAGAATATCATTACAATTGTGAGACCCTCCTAAACTGACTTAAAACTACTAGCAACAAATAACTAAGGAGTAATACTTTTTTTATGGAGAGCATTTTTTTTCTTTCTGCTATAGGGCACAAAGGAGACAAAGAGACAGAAAGGAAAAAATCACCCCTCGGGGGATGGCCACACCACAATCCCTTCTCTTCCATTCTCTCAGGATCTTGGGCATGCATGCACACACGCCCAGCGTGAGTTTAAACCGCTGGTTCCGGGACTCGAACTGTGATCAACTACGTGGGAGTCCAGCGACATTGCCATTACATCAACTACTGGTCCCAGAATAATACTTTTTAAAAAGTAGTGATCAGGGGACTAACAGGTGGTATGGTGGTTAGGGCACTGGACACTCCCACATGTCCAACCACGATTCAAGTCCCAGACCTGGTGGCTTGCTTTCTCACTTTCCCTCTCTCTCTCTCTCACTCTCTCTCTCTGGTCAAAATAAAATAAAATGAATGAATAAATAAAATTAAATAAATCTTTTTTTAAAAAAAAAAAAAGTAGTTATCAAATTTAGTGCATGTTAACTTGCATTTGGGGTCTGGCCCCATAACCTGGTGGTTGAGGGAGTCAGATCCCACATGGCTGACCTCACAGTTCAAATCTCAGCTAGGCAGCTTGAAAAACACACCAGGTGCATGTGTGTCCATGTCCAAAATCCCGACAAAAGGGAGAAATAGAGGAGAAGGGATTACAGTGTGACTATACCCAACTGGGGAGGGAGAAAACATTTCTGGGGATGCTTTCTCCCTCTCCCCACCCTCTGTCTCTGTTTCTCTCTGGAACACACATGCACCCCCTGGTAATTTTTTTAAAAAAGGAAAAGAAAACTGCATTTCTGAGTTCAACAAACTGGTGTCCTAGACTACGTGATGGGCACAGACAGTGGAAAATCTAGTGGTAGGTATGGGAAGAGCTGTGAACAGAGAAGGAGAGAGGAGACTGGGAAAGGGTACTCCACACAGAATGGAGGTGGCCCGGCTGAGTATGCAGCCAGAAGTCTAAGAGTTCACGTTTTCCCCAGGAAGAGTGAAAAGCCCATGTGTGTCCTGCAGACCATGCCTTCCCTGAGCCTTTGTGGACACCTATGTCCCAGTTCTCACTGACAGTGTCACTTTCTGACACTCATTTCTCGGAAGGTTCCCAGGTGATTAGTAACCCTGCGTCTCCCAGGAAAGCAAGTGTGCAGCACGTAGTCTACCAATAATTGCTTCTGACGGGTGTCGTGTTACAGATGGCAGGGACACGGAGTCTGGTCTGCGCTGGACCCTGGGGCTGCAGGGTACTCAGAGCTCTAACAGAGACAAAGAAGAGGGCTGAGGTGTGGGGGAGTGGGAGAGACATCAGTACAGCTCAGTGTGGGGGCCACGGAGCGAGGAGGACAGGAGGGACAGACACCAAAGGAGACCAGTCTGCAATGGCAGGCAAGGCCAGGCCCAGGCCAAGTGGCCTAGGTCACACAAAAGGACATGGGCCTCAAATGTGAGGCAGGCCCAGCGCATCTGTCTGGCTATGAACCCTTAGACAAGCGACATCATTTCTCTGTGCATCCGAGTTTTCATATGTGAATTCGTTTTTAGACACTAGTTACAATTCCTTTCTCCCCTCCTCCCCCCTGCCAAGGTCCACTGTGGGCAGAGAACGCTCCCCTCACCACTGATGATGGGCTCGGCCCTGTGACTACTTTGGCCAGTGGCACATGGATGAGAGTGGCAGTGCCAGCTCCAGGCCAAAGCCTTAAGAGACCTCTCTTTTTTCCCACCTGCCCCTCTGTGCCTCTGTGTTTGCCTTGAGAAGGGCATGCCCTGGGGAGCTGCTGGTCCAAGAGCAGAGATACCTGGAACAGCCCTGAGTCCACCTGTGTCCTGAAGCAGGGCAGTCCCCACCAGTCCACTGACATGTGAACAGGGAAAGTCAGTGCTGCTAAAGGAAACAGACTAAGGGGCTGTTTGAGAGGTACCACTGCTGAAGCAGTGCTAATACAAAATGTTTACCAAGGCAACCGGCACAGGCAGTGCTCAAAGGCCAGGAGTAGCTTTGCTTTAAGCCGCAGCCACAATGAAAATGCATGAGCTGGGACCAGCAGGTGGCTAAGGCACTGGGCTTCCACAAGGTAGACCATAGTTCAAGTCCCTGACCCAGTGGCTTGAAAAAAACTCAAAAACCCAAGCGGAGAAAAGAGGAAAAGGGATTGCAACATGGCCATCCCCCAGGAGAAGTGATTTCTCACTTTCCCTCGCTCTGCCTCTCTCTAGGGAATGTATGCACCCTATGGCAAAAACAATTTTAAAAAAAAAAAAAAGGAAAGAAAATGCATGGGCTTCAGGAGTCAATGCCGTTCTCACTAGCTGAGTGACTTCCACCCCACTTTTAGCATCTCTGAGCCAGCTTCTTTATTTGAAAGTTGAGGGACTGTGAGGATTAAGTAAAATAATACTGCTAAAGTGCTCAAAGCCACGAGGCACACTACGAGTGCTCAATGGCCCTTTAGCTGTCGAAAACCCACAGGTAGTCATGGCCACATAACGTTTCTGCCAAGGACAGACCGCGTGTACAACAGTGGAGCAGCAGGCTCTGCCTAGGCCCAGCGTGTAGAGGCGAGGTCTGTGTGAGTACTCAACTGTGATGTGCATACGATGACGAAATCACCTGCCAGTGTGTTTCTGGGTACAGATCCCCCTTGTCAAGTGGTACAAGACTGTGTATTTACCAGGTACTGTTCTGTTGGGTCTTGGGAAAGTCATGACATATTTTTGCATAGAAAACCATAGAAAAAGAGGCTGGCAGGTGGCATCATGGTTGAAGGCGCTGGACTCCCACATGGCCAATCATGGTTCAAGTCCTTGACCTGGTGGCTTGCTTTCTTGCTTTTCTTCTCTCACTCTTGCTCTCGCTCCCTCCTTTCTCTGTCTGATCAAACTGGAAAATCATCATCATCATCATAAATAAAGTTAACATAATTAAAAAAAGAAAACACACAGAAAAATATGTCCTGACTTTCTGAATGACCTAAAATGTACTTTATAAATATTATCTTGTGTTCGTACCCACTCTCCATGGTAGGTAATTATTCTCCTCTCCACAAAACGTGCAAACTGAGGCACCGTATAGTTAAGTTCCGCACCAGGTGAAGGGACTGCGAACAGCAGGCTAAAGGCAGAAAGTCCAGGAAGGCGCTGATACAAAAGCTGAGGTAAGAGATCAGAGGTCAGAGGTCATTGCATGCTGGAAGATGGGGGTGGTGAAGAAAAGAGGACTGGCTGGCTGTGGCAGCAACCTTGCACATGGAACCCACCTGGGACAGGGTGGGGTCCACAGCCTGGGAGAGGCAGGGACCACTTCCAGCCACCATTACCAGTGGGCTCAGTATTCACAGCCAGAGAGGAATGTGTGACTGAGGCCGAAGTACTGTGGCACTAAGCACACAAACCATTTCCCTCCATGAGACGTACCATAGAACAGTGGGTCCCGGGGCGGTTTTCTTTTGACGAGGACACGAGCCAGCAGGGCTACCAGCAGCAGGATGAGGGCAGCAACCCCTACAATTGTCCAGGAACTGCAACGACCAGAACAGGGAGGGGGTCACTTATCGAAATGAACACATTGATGCCTGGAATTTCCTGACTGCTGAGTGCATTGCTCCCAGCACTGCGTAATTCATACATAATCCCGCCTCTGCCTCAGCTCACAAGTTAGTGAAGTTGATCTGCACCCTGTGGGCCCATCTGGGCCACAGCCCTGTGACTTTCAGGGACCAGAGCCACCAGGCCCTCATTCCCCTTTTGTCCTGCCCATCTGTCTCATGTGCACAGATGATCTGTCTGAGCTCTCTCAGTCCACCCAGCCCTTCCCTGGGAGGGCTGCAGTCCCCCTGCCTCTCCTCCAACTGCTCCTCCAACTCCTGTTTCCCCGCAGCTGACAGCCCTAACCATCAAATCTGTCCCCTCCCTACTGGCCAGCTGCAGCCCTCAGACTGAGCTCCAGGGACACACAGGTGTTATAACTATGCACACCTTCCTGGGAGACAAGGAGAGCCGTATTCCATGTGTATAACCACACAGGTTGGAGGACAAGGCCAGGAAATCCAGGGAGGAAGAGAGTCTGGGCTAGACCCAAGGCCGGAATGAAGTCCACTCGATACTCCAGACTCAAGGCCAACGGGCTAGCGTCCAACCCCAAGCCAAGGAAACCAAGATGAGGCTTGATTGACACACCCCCTGGACCTTCTTCTGGAAAGGGACAGGTACCAAGAAGACCAGGGCCAAGGCCCCTGCTCAGCAAGGCAGCCCTAGAGCATGAGCTTGAGCAGAGTCAGCCGTCAGGAGACCTGGCCCCCAGTACCCACCCTACTGCTGCCTAATTGACCTTAGGAAAGTCATGGCATTGCATTTATCTGCCTATTGATTGAAAACACCCCTAGGATTTTTTTTAAAGAGTGTATCATGTATCCCTTTGTGGTAGGCAGTAATGCAGGCCCTGGGGACACCAAAGGTCCTTGTGTACATGGAGGACTCAGAGCTACCATCTAGGATGGCTCCTACCTGGAGATGCTCTCCCTCTACACCACCAGCACCGACCGACAAGAGCTTCCAGTTGTAGACAAAGAGCCACCTGCCCACTCTGATGACCTGCTACATGAGAGCCTCTTCACACCCACTTGGAGCTGCCCCAAGCACGATGCCTCCATACCACCTCAGCCTGACTTTGAGACCTTGTCATGTGCTCCTGGGAGAGAGAAAGTGAAAGGAGGGAGGAAAAGAAAGAAGGATAGTTGACGAATGGGTGGATGATAAATGATGGACAGATGATAGATGATGGACGATGGACGCATCAGTTCTATGATAAGGAGGGTGGCTGTGTCAGTGTCCAGGTGAGATAGTAAAACATAGGAGGTTTCTGGTAGCTCACATTCTGGTAATGGCTGCCCCAGGCTACTCCTTGGGAAGAGCCAAACGAGAAGGAAGCAGAACGAGTCAAGAACATGATGCTGAGCCGGTGTCCCTTGAGGAGGCAAGAGGTCAGGTGTGCTGTGGAAGCTGACAGGCGTTTTAGTGAAGAGCAGCCTGAGGCAGGAGGTGGTCAGGGGGCAATCCCCCATCCCTGCTCCCACCAAGGGCCTGCATCGCAACCAGCACGGTCCTGCGGCCGGTGCTGTTCTGGAGTGCGAGAGGGCAGCGTAAACTGGTTCATGGCGTCTTCTCGTGCTCTCACCTCTAGGGAGGAGGAACACATGAACAGAAATGAGGGCAGCAGATCATCTCTGCCTCCTGGCACTGTCCCCGGGGACCTTCCTGCAATGGCAAAGTGCAGGGCCTGCTCCCAACAGGGAAGTGGGTCCAGCAAGGACTCCGGGATGGGAGAGGAGAACTGGCAAGGGCTGTGACCAACTCCAAGGTGAAAACGTGGTTCCTCGTGGTGGTGGGAGGGGTTATGGAGGCCTTTTTATGGGAAGACGCTTTGCATGTAGGGATGAGTATGAGCTGTGTGTGTGTGAGAGAGAGAGAGACAGACAGAGAAGGAGACAGACCTCAACCCTCTTCTGATTTCTCAACCTAACTTGCCTTGTCTGTTTTTCAGACTTTCACAAGTCTGGCGGGAAGGAAGTGCAACTCAACAATGTCAACATAACTGAGTATCCACCATGCACTGGATGCCTGGCTGGGTGACAACGCTGAGGTGAGCCACAGCTGGGGAAGGTAAGTGCTGACCCCAGGAAACTTAACTCTCGTGGGAGAGGGTGCAGTCAAGGGGCCGAGGGGGCTCAGAGGAGAGAGAGAGACCCCTCACTCGGAGGTAGGCTCCGCAAATGGAAGAAGTGGATCGCTCTCGTGGCCACAGGTCCAGGCCCGCCTTCAACAGCCAGTGACAGGAGGAAGGCAGCGGCCCTGTCAGTGGGCGGTGAGAGCAAGGGGGAGGCGGCAAGAGAGCTCAGGGGGCAAAGGCAGCCTCGTCTGGCTGGAGCAGAGGCCTGGGGCAGAGGGTGGGCATGGAGGATAACAGATATGCAGGGGACTGGCAGAAGACTCACACTGCCAGGGCAGGCGAAGCCTGCTCCAGGGAGAACTGAAAAGAGGGAACAGGTACGGGGCTAGCCCTGGGACTTGTGGGAAAAGGGACAGACGGAGGAAGGCAGTGGAGAAGGAAGAGCGAGGAGCCAAAGGCCACTGGGATTTGAACCTGTTGGAGGATGGGAAGAATGGCTGGAGCCTGTGATTCCAAACACCCACCACAGAGCTTAGCAATGTTCTCCATGGTGCCCAGCCCTCCCTAACCCCATCTACTCCAAAAATGCCATCACCATGTCCCCAGACTGAGACCAAAACCTGGCAGTCATCCTCAGTCCTCTTTCACAAGCCTCACCTCTTTCCCCTCCACAGTATCTGCCTCGCCTACCACTTCTTTCCCCTGCCACTGTTCCTCGTTCCCCCCACTGGAAAGCTCTGTCCCCAGATCTTTCGACTGTTCAGACGTCACCTCCAAGAGGCCTTCTCTGACCACCAGCCCCCCTTCCCAGTCACCCTATTTTACCGTCTTCGTAGGGCATCACTACCTGCTTAAATATTTGTTCCTATCTGTCTCTACACACTTCCTCCACCACCTCTGGCTTGTTCATGGCTGTCTCCAACACCTGGAACCGTGCCAAGCACACCGTAGTACAGTGCTGGTAAATATCTGCCCAGCCACCCCAGCCACTTAGGCGAGCAGGACCCTCCATGCACTGTATTGACAGGGACGTCACACGCAGCTGCCCGAGCTGCTGCCTCTAGGAGATGTGCCCAGAGACGGGGTCAGACCAAGGACAGGCACTGCCCGTGCTACTGAGCACCAGGCATAGACGCTGTCCGGGCAGCGAGAGGGCCATCACCGCCCTGCGTGCAGACACTTCTCCAAAGCGGAAGGTCTGGAAGGGGGAGCAGGTACGGAGTGACGCAATTTCCTCAGTACAAACTGCGGAGGCAGAAACGGTAACAGGTTACTTCCTCCTCGCTACGGGAAGCAACTGACAGCAGAGGCACAGAGGCTGGTGCCTTCCCACTGCCCTCCCAGGCCTGCAGCTCCTGGTGCGGAGCTGCTTAGTCACTGATCCCACAGGGGAACCCGAGTCCTGACCCCTCGACGGCCCAGCCATGCCCTTAGCACTGAACTGCCCCCTCTGCCCCAAGGCAGGCACTGGGAAGGGCTTTTCCTTGCACAGCGCGCCTTCACAAATGGGTCTCGCTGGATCCTCGCAACAGGATGCAAATCTGGTCCACTTGGCCGACCAGAAAACTAAGACCAAGCCACACCATCAGGGCCAGAGCCAGGCCTAACTCATGTGTGGATTCAGGGCTATTTCTGCTAGTCATCCACAGCGGTTTCTAAAATTAAGAAGAAATGATAAGTATGTGCAAGTCCATACATGGAAACGTGCCTGTCCGGTGCGAAAGGGACAGGCGCGCACCTACCAAGGCCAGGCCGGTAGTTTGGGGTTTGCTCCTCCCGCACCGGCCCGGAGCTCCCCAAGGGCAGGGGCATAGCTGGGTTGACCTCCGCCACCCTGCCACCCCGCACGGTGCTGGCCGGGAGAACTGCCCAGCGCTTGGCCCTGAACTGCGGCAGCCTGGGCGAGGACCTGGCCCTCCAGACCCTCAGGGCTGCCCTTGGCTGGGTGCGGAGCTCCGGAGCGTCCTCGAGCTCTGTCCGGCAGCTGCAGCTCAAGCCCAGCTGAAAAGTTACCGGGGCTCCCGCCGCGCCCCTGCGCAACCCCCCGCCGCGCGCCCGCTCACTTACTCGTGCAGGGCCGCCAAGTGGTTGAAGACGTAGGTGACTGGGATGGCGGAGAGGGACAGCACGAAGACCCCGGTGGCCGCGGAGGCACTCATTGCCGCCGCCGTGCAGTTCGCCCTTCACCGCATCCCGCCCGGGCGCCCCGCCCAGCTTCCGGCAGCGCCCGCACCCCTCAGAGCTCGCCATTCA